TTTTTTTTTTCAAAGAGACAGGGTTGGCTAGGCACCATGGCTCACGCCTATAATCCCAGAGTTCCTGACTAGCCTGGGCAACACGGTGAAACCCCATCTCTACTAAACTACAAAAAATTAGCTGGGTGTGGTGGCGTGCACCTATAATCCCAGCTGCTCGGGAGGCTGAGGCAGGGGAATTGGCTTGGACCCGGAAGGCAGAGGTTACAGCGAGCTGAGATCACACCACTGTACTCCAGCCTGGGCAACACAGCAAGACTCCATCTCAAAGCACCCCCTGCCAAAAAAAAAAAAGAGAGAGAGAGAGACGGGGTCTCTCTTTCTCACCCAGGCTCTAATTTAATGACAAGATCTTGGCTAACTGCAACTTCCATCTCTCGGGTCCAAGTGACTCTCCTACTTCAGCCTTCCCAAGTAGCTGGGATTACAGGTGTGCACCACCACACCAGGCTAATTTTTGTACTTTTAGTAGAGATGGGATTTCACCATGTTGGCCAGGCTGGTCTCGAACTCCTGACTTCAAGTGATCCCGCCCGCCTTAGACTCAGGAAGTTCTGGGATTACAGGCATGAGCCGCCGTGCCCAGCCCCAGCTTCTTTTATCTGAACATTCTCTACCAGGAACCCAGCCTCAAGGGGACATTTCTGTTTCCCTGTGCTAGACAGAGATGGTTTGAGGCGGGTGGTGTACCTGATCCACTTGAGACTTTGGCCAGCCCTGTAGAGTTGCCGATAGAGGGATGACAGAAAGCTATGTCCTCACTTTTCCTGCAGGCAACCTGAGGCCTGCACAGTCCAGTGGTTCACCTGGGTGTAAGGGTCCGACCTTCTGTCCTCAGCTTCAGTTTCAGTTACCAGCTGTGGCTTCTGTCTCCGGAAGGGGGTTGATGAAAAGGAGGAAGAATAAAGCTTTCATGAGAAATAGAAAATAGTGCTCTGTTTGGGGGATCCAAAACTTCAGTTTCCTGACTGCCCAAACTCGAGTCATGAGCTGCTTTTTAAGATGGGTCAGCTGGGCACAGTGGCTCACACCTGAAACCCCAGCACTTTGGGAGGCTGACACAGGCAATCGCTTGAGGTCAGGAGTTCAAGACCAGGCCAACCCAACATGGTGAAACTCCATCTCTACTAATACAAATATTAGCCAGGCGTGGTGATGCGTGGCTATGGTCCCAGATGCCACAGGGAGGCTGAGGCAGGAGAATCACTTGAACCTGAGAGGCAGAGGTTGCAATGAGCCGAGATTGGGCCAGTGCACTCCAGCCTGGGTGACAGAGCAAGACTCTGTCTCAAAAAATAAATAAATATCCTGAGAGCTAGACTGAAGTGACTGTTAAAGAAAAAAAAAATTAAAATAATAAATAAATAAATAATAAGATGGGTCAAAGTGTCCGGGTGCAGTGGGGCACACTGGTCGGTAGTCATGGCACCTTAGGAGGCCAATGCAGCTCTCTTGAGGACAGGTGTTTGAGACCGGCTGAGGCCACTAGTGAGACCCCATCTCTCCAGAAAAGTTGAAATTTAGTCACGTGTGTCAGCATGTGCCTGTAGCCCCAGCTACTTGGGAGGCTGAGGCAGGAGGATCGCTGGAGCCCAGGAGTTGGAGGTTATGTACGCTATGATCACACCACTGCACTCCGGCCTAGGCAACACAGCAAGACCCTGTCGGTAAAAATCTTAAAAA